GCCATCTGATGGGTATTTTCTCTTAAGAAAGTAGTTAAAGTACTAATACATAAAAGTGGTTGTACTGCACATTTATTTAAGTTCTGAACTAGTTTTAAATGAAAATCTAATCACCTAAGTAACGTTAAAATATGGTATTAGTAAATGGCTTCATAACTTTTTTTAATTTTGTTGTTTTGTATTTACTTTCTCCGCTGATTGTGAGTGACAGATGTAAGGAAGGTGATGCATGAATGTATGTATTTAGTGATTGTTGCACTAAAGAAACTAGTAAATGAAGTTGTATGTGTTAGATGATCATTATATTGCAGTAATCGATAAATTTTTCCCATAATTATCACAAACATCTTGTGGAAACGGGTAATTGTTAATGTGAGCAATCAGTAGGTACAAACGAAAGTTCAACGCAAGTTTCCTGTAATCAACTTTAAGTGGGCAGACATTTCTATAACAGGAAATTGCACAGCATCGTCGTTATAAACGTAGAGTGTTGATGGTAATCGTTGTTATTGATAAAAGTGCACCAATTACAACGGCAACTCTATCAGTTTTATTGTAAAAAGATAATAAAACTGTAAAGTGGAGAAGATCAGTGAAAAAAAGGTAAAAAAACGAATGCAGGAAAAACTTGATGATGTCTAAATACTCCGTTTAATACGAAATAGCGGAAAGATACTTTATTATTTATTCTTCTATTACAAATACATAAAACAAAACCAGAAGTACCTGTTGCAATTATTTTGCCGATGTTTCGCAGACGTTGCAGGTTCTTCATCAAGGTGTTGAACACTTTGATACTGATTAGTAAGAGTGTAAGAACAAATAAATTAGTTTTATTCACGCCATTGACTTTTGTATAATTAGAAGACAAGGCTTTTCTTTACAAAAAATTATAACCTAGAAAATATCGTCTTATTGATCGTTAGAGCTATTTTAATACATGTCATTACCATTGGTCCTTTTTACCCTTAAAATCTAATTTTAATGTGTGATAACAACTGCCTATCTTTTAACACTTCCTTTTTTCTATTAATGAAATGAGAAGGCTGATATCAATACAAAGACTTTCAGTTCAGTAAGAATTCAATACTCAACCGTCTTTGTTTTCAAAGGAAATCGATATAATAACATATAGGATGCTTATGACCCAGCAAAAATAGGACATGAGATATGAAAAACACTAATTGTTACTATCAGTGTTAATTGGAAAACGAACGTAAAACGAAGCTTATCTAATGTCTTAATGAGTTGAACGGTTTCTTATAAAAGACTTCATGGTCTTTCAGTGGCGTAGATAGATTAAAATACCAATTATGAAAGGTTATGAAGCGAATCAACCCGAGTTACCAGAAATATCATAAATAATATTTACGTATAGTTAGGGTTTATAGTTATATCTTGAAATGTAGGGATGAGTTATAGAGACAGAAGAGTGATACTTAGTTTGTATAAAGAGCAACAGGCAGGGAATCAGACAGGAATGCACATTGTCACCGCTACTATTTAACCTGTACATCGAAGACGCGATCAACATCATTAAAGACACTACAACTGTAGGGGTAAACAGGGTTAAAGGATCAGTATGTTTAGATCTTCAGATGATATAGCAGTATTAGCATCTAGCAAGGAGGAGTTAGAGATAGCTTTAAATAAAATGGAAGCGGTACTGACAGATCAGTACTGTATGAAAATAAATAAAAGTAAAACAAAAATACTGGTATGCAAGGAAGAAAAAGCAGGGAAAGAGCGAATTTGAATATAGGAGACGAAAAATTAGAAGAAGTGGCTGATTCTAGGTATCTATAGAAAGTCAGATTAATCAGGACGGAAGAACTAATAGGAATATAAATCAGAGTATAGCGCAGGGTCGAGTCACTTTCAATAAAAGGAAGTCACTTCTATGCTCGCGAAAGATTAACTTATAAATTCGAAAAAGGTTGTTAAAGGTGTATGTTTGGAGCGCGGCGCTGTACGGATGCGAAACATGGATGGTGGACGCGGCGGAAAAATAAAAGGTTAGAAACGTTCGAAATGTGGTGTTACAGGCGAACGATGAGGATACCGTGGATAGAGACGGTTAGAAATTAACAGGTATTAGAAAGAATAGGAGAACAGAGGACTCTATGGAAGTCAAAAAGAAATAGGCGACAAAGGTCAGTAGGGTACCTTCCCAGGCATGAAGGTCTAGTTAGAGACATATTAGAGGCAGAAAAGGAAGTTAGGAGGAGTAGGGGTAGACCTACATTAGATTGCTGTTCGCAAATAGTTAAGAATGTAGGTTGTTCTAGTTTTAAGAAAATGCGAAAATTAGCTCAGGATAGGAAAGAGTGTGGAGGTGCATGTCCAACTACTCATAGAACTAACGTTCCCACTACTTCGGCATTTTCATAAACTCCATTATGGTAGCCACATTAATTTTTTATTAAATGAAGGAAAGGACGAAACATGCACTTACGAATTAAGATTTTATTAATCAAACTTTTTTTTGAAAGATGCGGATATATTTACGTACTGAGGGTCCCATTTTGCTACGCCACTGGAGAACAATGCAATTCATATAGCAATTGTCAACAGCTTGCAATGTTGGTCAAGGAGCATCCAGGCAAATCAATAAGAAACAAATGACTCATAAATAATTCTTTTATGCTGAAGTAATTTGCTCAACCCAGATGTCTCTATAACATTTCACATCATTTACACATTCCTCATTCGCAGTAACAAAAGCAATAAAACATTTCTTTTTACTGCAGAATAATATGTTACCAATAAGTCTACAATTAAAATACAACATACACCATCTAAAGATTACACACAAGTATGATAATTAAGGTTTGTTATTATTTCTGCAATTATAACCGTTTCTTGACTTTTCTGATGACCCCCGATATATCACTAGTTTGTTTACAACTTGCTACCAGCTGTATTTTGTTTTGTGGTTGTACCTCATACATATAAAATAATACTTAAAAATATTTCAACAATTATTACCCAAACGTTCAAATTTATCAAATATTGCATTTAAGACTAGGGTACCCGAGATAAAAATCTCTGAAAGCGAGACCCGAGTCTCCGTCTTTCATCGAGTCTCTCTGGTGTCGCTGAGAGAGACTGTCAAAGAACTGTTTAGCGTCTCTAAACGAGAGACTCGAATCTCTCAATAAGTGGTGTCTCGATAGACATGGTTAATATTCAACATATTTCAGAGATCCCAGTCTTTCTACGAGAGACTCGAGTCTCTCAATTTTTCAGTTTTATTCATTCAGTCTCTCTGTGAGAGATTCGAATCTCTGAATTATCAATTTTATCGTTCGAGTCTCTCATACAGAGACTGAGACATCTATAAAAACACGTACGAGATACTGTGAAAGACTGTGGGAGACGCTCTCAGAGACGCTGAAAGACTCTGAGAGACTGAAATTTTTTGTCTAGGATAGCTGACGCTTAGCTGCAATCACTAATAAAATCGGTTTTATAAAAGAATTGAAATGTTTTATTATAAACTACTAACAATTTTCTTATATAAACACAATACTTTTAAAATTCGTTCCGGGTAAATCATGAAAAATAATACAAAAGCACATATTGCGTCGATTAATTAACAATTGATTAAGGTAGTGTGATAGAAATAGAGAATAACGTTACTAGTTAGTAACCAAACCTAAAGGTAAACAGGGAAAGCCTTTTAATTAATCTGCTCTAATTGAAATGTACATTTGGATATATGTACATCTAGGTGCATATATCTAAAATTGTTCGGGAATATTTAGATAACGAATATTTTAAAGGGCATTCGTAGTTTGGAGCATTGTAATTACAGTTTTGGGTCCAATTCAATAGATAATTTGACTAAGTTTATTGACGCATTGATTGATTGAAATTGTACACCACATTAAAGAAAGTAAGTATGCAGTTTTTGTGCAGTGGCTGCAGTTTGTCAGGGCCGGATTAGACACATATTGAAATTAGAATTTTAACAAGTAAAATAGAAAAAGTGGAGAAATATTCAAATAATAACTTCAGCTATACAGTTAACATTTCTTCAGGGAATTCAAAATAATTTTTACTAAATATTTACTTATAGACCAAAGAAAATATTTTCGTTTCCTAATAAGATAAATAAATATTTGTTATTGTTTAAGAAATGTAACACTTAATTATTCCTTGAAATTTGTATTTGTCATATCGGGTAACTGCCCTAATGGACAAAGTTTATTCCATTTTCGTTCGTTAATATAAAAAGTTCCCGTTTTGAATGTCGTAAATCCTTAATGCAGCTGTTTTGCCGCAAAAGTTATCTTGAAATGTTAAATCTGTCTGAAATACTGTAATATGAACACAGTTAAAAACGTAGACAAATAACGAGGGCAGTGTGTATGTTAATTAATAATAATTAATTAACAACATTAACTCAAGAAAATAAATAGACATTTAAAACCTCAAAATTCCACAAAATGTTTCGCGCTTCGACATCCAAGATGTCTCAGTTATACTTCATTTACTTTCTCTAGTGATTTGCCCCTTCCAATGTCTTGGATGCGCGCTGGCAAAATCGTAGGTAGAGAAGAAAAAAGCTCATTATACATACTCTCGACTCTTGTTCATTAAACATACTTTTTCATACAGTACCTGCCAAAAGTTTTGTTCAATCATGAATAGTAGTGCGAGTCGAAAAAAGCGTTAAAGTACTGTACGGATTATACGCTCCTTACCTGTTAAGAGTTTGGCCGAGAGTTGTCTCCTTCTTTTACTGGCCTAGTGCTGTTCTTTTCTACTTTCCGCCGGTCAAACTGAAGGTCACATCGCTACAGAAAGTAAACGAAGTATAGAGACTGAGTGAGAATTTTGGGATTTTAAGTGTTCATTTTGCTTTAACTCTGAAGTATAACAAAAAATATTTCATTTTTTAAAATTACAAGTTTTCATAAACGTGTTCATTATTTCATATTCAAACAAATAGAGAATCAGCAGAGTGTTAAAATACCTACTGTTTTTATTTTCAGGAATCACTTCGGAGTGTATCGTGTGAAAATCAATCATCAACCAGCAGCTGTATACACAATAAAGGTAAGAATTTTAAAGCATTACTAAGTATGTGTGCAAACAATTGACCTGGGAAAAGACAAACTATAACAAAGATCGGTTGTTATTGTCTACGATGCGATGCAGTTTGCATTGTAACGACGTTAGATGGTAGTTCGCGTCTGGATGTCAAGGAAATTACCAATTTCGCACGTCGATGGAGGCTGCAATGTTTACTTAATGAAGTTATACACAAACAATAATAATCATTAAAAGTTTCCGTGTAGTCGAGTCATCCCTGACAAACTGACTAATTGGATTAGATGTACCAAATGCAATATGCATCCATTCAGTCAATTAATTACAAGGAAGTTCATATTTCGCTTGTTTTGTTGTCTGCTTCTCAGTCTCGTACAAATCTTATAGATCTACTGTAAAATTATTGGTAGATAACATTTATGTAATCGACATAGGCTGTATGAACTAATCCAAAACATTGCGACATCAGAGGTACCTCAAGGAACTAACTTAGGTCCTCTACTGCTGGACGACTGCATTACGGAAATCAAATCAACGAAATTTCTATATTTTAAGAATTATGATATCTATCCTTCAAGAGGAGTTGATAATGTCTCACTTCATATATTTGGCATGCAGCCCTTATTTGATCTAAGAAAATTTATTGCAATCTTATTTCTATCATCATAAGGTCGTCAGTTCTAACACTGGTTGGGCGTGCACCTCCACTCTTTCCTATCCTGAGATAATCTTCACATTTCCCTACAACTAGAACATTCCATATCCTTAACGATTTATGAACAGTAATCTAATCTAAATCTACTTCTACACTTCTTAAGTCCTTAACTTCTGCTTCTAATATATCTCTGATCAGCCCTTCTTGTCTAAGAAGGTGTCCTACCAACCTATCTCGTCTATTTCTTATTTATTTCCATAGTGTTACAATTATTTATTGTACAGTATTCATATAGTACAACGGTAAAGGTCTAGATGATGGGGTGTGGGGGATCGATAGAGGAGGCCTCCCCCACCACTGTACCATAAAAAGTTCGTGGCGGTCTCACCCCCATAAAAAGTTATGGGGGTTCAAAATTAATAAATATACCAATTTTTATACATTTCTAGGCATGTAAATATTTATATAGTCATTCTTAAACAATATTCAAAGGTAAAACTAATGGAAAATACATAAAAATATTGAGAAAGTTATATAAAACATTATTTAAATATCTTTATCAATAGGGTAGGTTAGGTTAGGTTATCGGGTTTTGTTCAAGTGACCACCCTCTTTCGATCCCCCACCTCCACCCGCTTGAAAATATTTTTTTTATTGAATTTTATTTGAATTATAGTGTATGAAAATTGTCAAAATAATCAATTTTCAACCCCCATAACTTTTTATGCGGTCCCACCGCAAACTTTTATGGGGTTTTACTCAGGTGTGATAAATAATTTCGGTAAGCTATTTCTAATTTCAATTCAAATGTTTTGCATATTGCTTGAAAAAGTTTAAAAATTTATTGAAATAATATTTTTTACAGGTCTAAAATTATTTTTATTTTTATTTCGCATTGTCTACGTACTTCCAAATCTCATTTTTAAATCAAGATACTTATGGGTGTTTAAGTTTATTTGCCACTGAGCATGTGCGTGGTATGTGCGCCAGTCCACCACAATTGCGAATCAGCGCATCCATGCTTTCTGTTTCACGTGAAAGCTCATGTATTCGAGCCGGCAAATGTAAGTTTGGTCGCGAATTGTAGGTAAATATCAAAGTTATGTGTTAATTATTATTCATTATAACTCCTTAATCTGTTTTACTTTATCGTGTACATACGTTTATAATATCAGTAGTGTTTACGTGAATGTACTATTAGTAAAAACTATCGTTTATCGTTTGTATTATTCGTAAACTGTGTACTGGAAAACAGGCACCGGCTGGCATGGATATCATGATAACAAGGTTAGTAGTAGATGTTGTTGATTATACGAGGGTGGATTGATAAGTTTCCGGCCTGACCAAGAGAAACAAGGTTTTTAAAAATTTTTTTTTTTTATTTCTCAACATAATCTCCTCCAAGGCTGATACATTTCTCATAGCGGTGTTCCAGTCTATTAATGCCATCTCTATAGANTTTCCCCTGACAACAAAAGTGTCCGGACACTTTTTAAAAACCCCTGCTGGACAGCTCCAGGACGCCTTTCAAACTAGGACAAATCCGGGGAATCCCAGACGGGCGGCAGCCCTAATTGTACTAGATACACTTACGTACATACGCTTTGTAGTAAATGAAAACTTTGCGTAACAATAATAATTGTCCAACGCAAGGATGAATATACTTTAAATACTATCTTATATTGAATTAATAACTACATTTTATATCCATTCCGTCAATTTAAAAACATTTAAGCGTGGCGATAATCTAGCAGTTCACCATTGAAGGATTGAAGCTCCGATAAACGTAACGTAAACAATAAGTTACAGTACTCGACAATAGATGCCGCCTCGTCACATTTTTATTGCTTTTCGTGCCTTTTTTATATTTGAAAATAATTTTATTAATTAGTACAATAGTTAACGTTGTATAGGTTGATTACAATACGTTTTTTCTTCAAGAAATATAAACTAACTTAGTTGCAATTAAAAAGAAGTCAAACGATACATATTTACCTTTTATTAGAAGTAGAAAAAATTTATCTACTTCTATTATTATCAATTAAATTAATTAATGTATAATTAGGAATTTGCAAGGAAAGAAGTCCTGACATGAACTGTAAGGTTTTCATTAAACCATCGGAGGGGGGGGGTCGATAAAGTCACACTAGGCATGAATTTTTTCAACCCCTAGAGGGAGAATAACGTTTCCATTGATAGAAAATATTGGTGCCATTGAAGTAGACAATGCAGTTGATAATAGAAATACTTTTTGTTGTCAACCCTCAAGGACATGAACAAAGGTATCAAATCAGTAAAATATTTAACAGTTTTTAAATGAAAATTATAAAGTATCATCAAGTACTCCTTATTGCGGGGGGTCACTTAATATTATGGTTTGTAAGAAGTTCAGCCCTTATCAAAATAATTAATAACTTGTATTACATAAATTAAATACATAAATAATTCACCAAAAAAAATGAAATTTTGTTTTGAAAGGAAAACGCTAACTATTCACATTAATTAAAATTCAATTCAATGGCCTATCAAACGGTAATAAATTCGGTTGTCACACATAGAACGTTTTAATATATTGTACAAACAGATACATACGTATAAACATATGCAAAACGCGTTTCAACTTTGGCATAACTTCCTGGCGTAGCGTACAGTTTAAGGCGATTAATTACAAAACGTTCATCGTCGTTTTGCGATGAACGCCCACGATACCAGGTCTACATTAACATTATACAACTTGCTAACGATCTTTAAATCTAACAGGCGACGAACAAAAGTACAGTAACATATGTCAATAGACTGTCTCCCTTTTTTTTTCCTTTTGGCACATGGAACTCAAAACAAAAAGGTTATTACACTTCGCTCATAAAAAAAAAGATCAGTAATTACCGTGAAAATATTAAGGGGAGAGGTGCTATACATCATTTACTTTCTCTAGCGATGTGCCCCTTCCAATGTCTTGGATGCGCGATGGCAAAATCGTAGGTAGGGAGAAAAAAGCTCATTGTACTCTCGACTCTTGTTCATTAAACATACTTTTTCATACAGTACCTGCCAAAAGTTTTGTTCAATCATGAATAGTAGTGCGAGTCGAAAACAAGCGTTAAAGCCTTTAATATGTCTTCAAATATAAATAAACATCTCGTTGATATTTTCAGTAGTAAATGGTACCAATAACAGCACATTTGAGCAATACAATTGTAGTGGATAAAATGGTCAATTTTTCTATGCAGTACTGTACAGATAATACGCTCCTCACCGGTTAAGAGTTTGGCCGAGAGTTGTCTCCTTCCTTTTCTGGCCTAGTGCTGTTCTTTTCTACTTTGCGCCGGTCAAACTGAAGGTCACATTGCTACAGAAAGTAAAGGAAGTATAACTATTACCCACCTTAACCCAACCTAATATGAGTTGGGGTAAGTAGTTTGTGTTGTTAGGTAGGGCAGCATAAGTTAAGGTAACAGTTACCTCCCCTTTAATATTTTCATTTATAAACAATAATTATTAAAAATGAAAGAAAATTAAGTAATGTGCCTCCCCAGATGTAAAATTAATGTACGGACCCCCTAAAATGACCCAAAAAAAATTGGAGCAGTTTTGAGATGCAGCCCATATTCTAAATAATTACCAAATGAACAAAATAAATATATCCCATCTATGAAGAAGGTTCCCGTTTTTACCTGAGGGTGGGTTATTCCACCCTCTAGAAGTTTCTAGAACAGTTCAGAATATTCGAGAGTAATCGAGTGGAATGTTCGGTAATAGTCTGGAATGTCCCAGACCATTGTGGAACGTCCCAGAACACACTTGAATGTTGTGGAGTGTTCTAGAACATTATAGAGTAGTCGAAGCCTTTTTTACATGTTTGATGCTACCTATGTACTTCTTATATTTTAAAGTTTATCCTTTTGTTCCAATTACCACACAATCTCATATCAACTACCTGAGCGAAGCCAGGTATCTCAAATATTTTAATAAATTGTAATTGCAACCTCTGCGCAATCATAAATTGAACAACAGGCATGACCCCTAATTAAAAATAGGTCTTTGCGGTGTAAGCAGTACCTCAATAGTAGTGTGGAAATCTGCTTGACAACGCACTTTAATAAAAATATCAAATTGCTGATACTTCAAATTTAAAAAAAAATATGTATTAATTAATCTACTGTTTCAGATCCAATAATAAGGGTGAAACATTTCTTGTTATAAAACCCGCTTTTTTACCCTTTTTAATGGTTTGATTCTATATTTATTTATATATATAT